GGGGGACTGAGTGTTTTCTTGAATGTGTGTGTGCGGGTGTTCACGTGTGCTTGTGCTTTGAAGATAACAGACCAAATATTCTCCCATGAATGATTGATTTCTGTTTATAACAGAGAGAAAAGTCTCTTCAACCACTTAGTATTTTCTTTTCCAGCCACAAATTACATAAATGTCTTCATTTTTGCAGCGCAGAACTCAAAGTGCAACATCTGTGCCTGATTTCCTTTGTTTACAGACTGTGCTCAGACATTTGACGGTAACACTCACCTTGCTTATCTGGGTCCATTTCGGGAATGACAGGTGGGCAGGGAGTTCTGGTCACTAGAAAGGAATCAAGATTTTAACCAGAAGGGCTTGCAGCAGTGGGCTGTGAGGAGAGAACACCAAGGCAAGTGAAGAGTCCTTTTACCTGGGGGAGAAAGGACACACAGGGTTTGAGAAGACTGGGGATATCTCTGGAGCAGAAGAAGGAACAGAGACTTCCTATCCCGGCCACATTTCTAGGAGCACATTTAGGGATTCCCAGAAGAAGTATTTAAATATATGCATAGATAAGTAGATTGATCTATATTTCAAGTAGACGCACAAACATACATCTACACACATATACTATTATCTTTTACATTATCTACACAATTCTATTTTAATTGCAAGGAAACATGGACTTAAAAGGCAATAGAATGTTTCCAGGTACTTCTTGAAGCCTTGCCATCAATGCATTTGCGGCAGACAGGCTCCTCTTCTGGAGTGGCTGGTAGCTTGAACTTCCAACCTTGCAGAAAGGAGTTCAACTTTTACCTATCCCACAACATCCCCAGTCCTACTGCATGTAGATATTACTATATATGTGTATATATTTTAAAGAAAGTTCACACGAGGATCATGTGATACAGTGTTTGAATTGACAGTATGTGGTTAAAAATGCAGAATCATTTAGCAGAACATTTAATATAATTTAAACATTGAAGAGCTTCAAATTTTATCTTTCAAAATTCAAGTAAATTTACATTTTT